AACCGCCACCAGGAGGAAGGCTGGGGGGGGTCTGAGTTTCCAGATGTCTCTATGGCTCTTTGGGGAGACTTTCTGCTTAGTGGCAAAACAAAGTCAGCGTCGCCCACACACACACAGACTTAAGGCCTTTTTTTATCTGTTTTTTTTTTTCTTAATCAATAAAATTTGAGCATCCTTTTCATGCCTGTTGACTGTCACTATACTAAAATGTTCTCTATACCAGAAGGATAAAAACAAAGACCCCAAACTTTAACAGAATTTGGACAGGTTAGTGTCTTTCGTTTCAAACTTACTGATTATTATTGATGTTATCGTGGCCGGTGGCCCATATTAATGTTAGCGTGTTATTATTAGCAATTAGCCGCAGCCAGCAATTCAAGGCTAACGTCATGTTAATGATCATAAACAACGTAAATAAATAAATCAGAGAAGGGGCGCAGCATCGGCAGGTCAGTACATATCGCTGCAGACTGCTGGAAGCCAAGGATGGATATCCAACTCCACCCACATTCAAGTCGGCCATTTTTATTAGGTCACCAAAAGGAAGATCCCAGGCAAGAAAATCCTAATTGCTTCATGGCAATATAGACATTAATTTAAAAACTAATCTTGCAAACACTGAATTAAACTCTATCGATAATATTATGTTAAAATAGTGGATGTTAAATAGGTTTGTACAATAAGTCCAAACAAGTTTAACCAAATAATATTTATTTCTCACAATTATGAAGGGTTAGGTTTAGGTTTAAGGTCAGGTTTAGGGTGAGGTTTAGGGTCAGGGTTAGGTTTAGGGTTAAGACATCATTTATCTTCCGATTTCGTATAGACAGTAAAGTTTCGTTTCCACCTGAGAAAGCTGCTAGTCACATGACCTACTCAAAATGGCCGACTTGGATGTGGGAGAAGTTGGATATCCAACCGAGGCTCCTACAGACTTTAGCCAAAGGCTGCTCCGCGCGGCGTGTTGGTATCGTATCAATACTTTTGACAATGCGTATCGTATCCGGATACAACCTTTTAGTATCCTTTGACGACCCCTTTGGGGACTCAGATCCAGGGGTTTGGGGGTTTGGGGGTTTTGGGGGTTTGGCTGGAGGCCCGGTGGGACTGCGATGGAGCCCCACGCAGCAAAGTGCTGATGCGGGGCTGCTGCCTCTTTCCTGTGGGGCTGAAAAGCATTGCAGCGGGCTAGTGGAGCGCGAGTAACGGCTGTTTTGTTAGCGGTCTGGAGCGCCGGGGACCGGAACCCCATAAGCTCCCTTCCTCTGTAACCCGGGTCCGCCCGATTGTCTCGGTCCGATTTGTCATTAAAGATTTGGGCGAGCCAAACCGGGCGGGGCCGGGCGGAAATGCGCTGCATTGTGCAGGTGTCAGGACGGCTCAGCTTCCCCGTCAGAGGCAAAAAAAAGCAGCTTTAACTCGATAACTAAAGCCAATGGGGGGGAGTTTAAAGCCACGCAGAGCAACGCTCCCCACGACAAAACATGCCAAGTACATCTGGATGTAGACTGCAGGAAGCCAAGGATGGATATCCAACTCCACCCACATCCAAGTCGGCCATTTTTATTAGGTCACCAACAGGAAGATCCCAGGCAAGAAAATCCTAATTGCGTCGTGGCAATATAGACATTTAAATATAGTGGATGTTAAATAGGTTTGTACAATAAGTTCAAACAAGTTTAACCAAAAAATATATATTTCTCACAATTATGAAGGGTTAGGGTTAGGATTACGATTAGGTTTAGGGTAGAGGTCAGGGTTAGGGTTAGGATTAGATTTAGGGTTAGCAATAGGGTTAGGTTTAGGGACAGGGTTAGGGGCAAGGTCAGGGTCAGGTTTAGGGTTAGATTTAGGGTTAGGGTTAGCATTAGGGTTAGGATTAGGGTCAGGGTTAGGATTTGAGTCAGGGTTAGGGTTAAAGTGGAGGGTTAGGATTAGATTTAGGGTTAGCATTAGGGTTAGGATTAGGGTCAGAGTATCGTTTGTCTTCCGATTTCGAATAGACATTAAAGTTTCGTTTCCACCTCAGACAGCTGCTAGTCACATAACCTAATCAAAATGGCCGACTTGGATGTGGGCGGAGTTGGATATCCACCTGAGGCTTCTACAGACTGCAGCCAGAGGCTGCTCAAACATGCTGGGTGTTAGAATCCAGCAGAAACAGACTGCGGGAACTCTGTTTTCTTAAGGCGTTCTTAGGGTTTAATATTAATAATAAGCCGGTTAATATGAGTTCTGTCTTTAACGAATCTCAGTTTAATTAGGAAAGCCGGGAGGGGGCGGATTACATCGCGACTGGGTCCTTTCTCCGTTTCCTGGTTACCGTGGAGACCCCTCCAGGCCTGGGATTAGACCCCCACTGGGATCTAATCTCGCTTTGCCGAGGTAGAAAAGCAAGTTACACAAACTTCTCTGAGAGGCGAGGAGCTTTTTGGCTTTTTAAGGGCGTTTTGTTGGGATGGGAAAAGGGTCTGAAGCTGCTCCTTCCCGCCTCGGCGCGCTTTTAGGAGTCTTTCCTCGTAGGTTTGAGGAGCAAGCGCCCGTCTCGCTCCTCCACCAGGAAGCCCAGCTCCCGGAGGGCGGAGTAGTCGGCCGGGCCCCGCCTCTCCAGACCCGCCACCAGCTCCTGGTTCTGGATGTTGTTCTCCAGGAGGTTCCTGATGGTGAAGACGGCCCACTGGCCGATGACTGCAGGCAGCCGTTAAGGAGAGTTCAGGCCCAGTCGAACCACTCAGCCACACAGAATCTAAAGCTGTCAGAATCTAGAGGAAGAGTTTGGCCAGAGAAGCTCCATAAAGGAGAAGATCCCAAACAGAGCAGTTCCCAAACAGACCAGCTCCATAAAGTAGAAGCTTAATAAAGGAGCAGCTCCCATAAAGGAGAAGATCACAAACAGAGTAGCTCTAAAAAGGAGCAGCTCCCATTAAAGAGGAGCTCCATAAAGGAGAACCTCAATAAAGGAGCAGCTACCATAAAGGAGAAACTACATAAAGGAGAAGATCCCAAACAGAGCAGCTCCCATAAAGGAGAAGCTCTAATCAAGGAGCAGCTCTATAAAAGAGAAGATCCCAAACATAGCAGCTCTATGAGGGAGCAGCTCCATAAAGGAGAAGCTACATAAAGGAGAAGCTACATAAAGGACAAACTTCATAAAGGAGAAGATCCATAAAGGAGCAGCTCTAATCAAGGAGCAGCTCCATAAAGGAGAAGCTCTATAAACGAGAAGCTCTATAAACGAGAAGCTCTAATCAAGGAGCAGCTCCATAAAGGAGAAGCTCTATAAAGGAGAAGCTCCATAAACGAGAAGCTCTAATCAAGGAGCAACTCCATAAAGGAGAAGCTTCATAAAGGAGAAGCTACATAAAGGAGAATCTCTAATAAAGGAGCAGCTCCCATAAAGGAGCAGCTCCATAAAGGAGAAGCTCCATAAACGAGAAGCTACATAAAGGACAAACTTCATAAAGGAGCAGCTCTAATCAAGGAGCAGCTCCATAAATGAGAAGCTCTAATCAAGGAACAGCTCCACAAAAGGAGAAGCTCTAATCAAGGAGCAGCTCCGTAAAGGAACAGCTCTAATCAAGGAGCAGCTCCGTAAAGGAACAGCTCTAATCAAGGAGCAGCTCCATAAAGGAACAGCTCTGTAAAGGAAAAGCTCCATAAAGAATTTCAAGTTAACTCTGAAAACATTTTCTCTCATTTTCTGGGCAAAAACCATGTCTACCAGCAGAGACCTAAAGTTCTTCATGTTCCACTATCCATCCATCCATCCATTATCAATACCGCTTATTCCCTGATGGGGTCGCGGGGGGAACTGGAGCCTATCCCAGTGGTCAACGGGCGAGAGGCAGGGTACACCCTGGACAGTCCGCCAGTCCATCGCAGGGCCACACACAAGACATACAAGGACAAACAACCACTCACACTCACATTCACTCCTAAGGGCAATTTCCCCAATTTCCAATCAGCCTAACATGCAGGTTTTTGGACGGTGGGAGGAAGCCGGAGAACCCGGAGAGAACCCACGCAGACACAGGGAGAACATGCAAACTCCACCCAGAAAGGTCCTGGTTCCCCCGGGATTCGAACCCAGAACCTTCTTGCTGGGAGGCGACAGTGCTAACCACCACACCACCGTGCCGCCCCATGTTCCACTAACTCGTTGTTAAACATCCAGAAGGACAAGTGTGAACACAAAGGGCTGCAAACAGGATACAGGGGTTGTTGCTGTCTATGTTGCAGTTGTCCAGGATCAGAGGGATGCCTTCCAGTTCTCTCACCTGAGGAGAAAAAGCCCGTTAGACGTGGCAGAAAAGTCCAATTCAAGCCCTGAAAACTCTCCTCATCGGGTTTCTTGACATCTCCTTTAAGTTTCTGAGCATCTGTTTGGAAATCTAACACAATCTCCACTAAACCAGGAGAATAAAATATACCAATAAACTGTCTTTAAGCCATTTCCTTTCACTTCTGTTGGGTGAAAGCACCCAAAGTTTT